AACTAGACAGGTGTGCTCTCTTCATTTATTTAATTATTTTAAATAATTTATTTTAAATGTTTGAGTAGTTTAAACATAAATTTATTCAGCATATGGTATGAGCATCTGTCGCTCTGAATTACAGTTCTGTCTCGAAAATGTTAAGTTTATATTGTCAGATTGTAAAAACTGCAGGTGGACATCAATGTTTAAGGAAAAAAATAAGTGAGAATACTTTCAGGATCAAAAGTTTTTCCTTGTGTTAGGTTATTGCTGGTGAAATAATGTTAATAACTACTTTTCAGCATGTATGTTATTAATTTACATTTAAATTGTATTTAACAATGGAAATAAGCAGGCAGTTTCACTTTCTGATTCTCATCCTCTTAACAAACAGCAGTTTTATTTGAGCTTTGACACTAATGCAGGAGTGTTTTAAACCCAGATATTTTCCCTGGACCTCCTTTTTTAAAAACAAAACAAACCAAAATGAAAACACTGAGAGTTAGGATTCTTTCCTGTTAAAAATCACACGTGAGCATATTTTGATACTGTCTCTTGGTGCTGTTCACAGAGCCCAAGGAAGCAGGAACAGGTGATGAAGCAACAGATGGAGCAGCTGCAAAGGCTGGTGGCCGAACAGCAGAAAATCATTACATATTACAACACAGGTACTACAGAGAGTTGCTTAAAATTGCACATGACAGCTGTTCCCAGGCTCTCAGTGAAATCCTCTGGTTTTCAGAACAAGTGCCAGCAAGGATAATGATTTTTTAGTGGTTTGGAAGGAGTAAGAAGCAGAAGGCTGTTTATGTGTTGTATTAAAATATTTTATTTCCACCACTAAAAGATCATTTAGAAACCCCCCTTTTTTTTTACAGAAATTCCATGTATAAAAGTCCATTTGTGTTTAATAATAGAAACCCATGTATGTATACCTGCTGACATCTAGATTATACTACATTTGGAAGTTTTAAGTTTAATGGCATCATAAAAATATAAAATATCACCGTTGCATACCTGTATCACAACTAAAAGATGGGAAAAGGGAAGGAAATAAACAAGCAATATTTTTAGAAAAGGACTTTCTGATATTGTGGCTCAATATCTTTCCACAATGCAGCACAACTTCCTTCATGCCTTCATTTTTGATGAGAGCATACCCAAAAAATGCCATCAGTCAAGCAAATAAACAAAAAGGAGGCTTCTGCCCATGTGCTTTGACTGTGACTATAAGATTTCCTCTGTGACTTTGGAACTGCCTCAGTTCCAAAGTATAATGGGATATGGATTTGTTGGTGGGGGAAACAGTTGGAATCCTCTGTTCCCCTCAGGAATGCTATATGGTTTTGCAAGAGCTCAATGCATGGCAAAAAACGGGGCAACTAGAGAAGGAACCATAAGAAGGTAGAAGGATCTTCTGACTGCTGCACTTCTTAAGGTGTCCCACTAGGAGAGAACAGCTGTACTTTATGGATAGGATTTCTTTATAGCAACCCTGCGGGCAGATGTTACCTGGGATATTTATCACAATGGCACGTTTCTCTGGCACCCTGGTCTTTCCTGTCTACTTTTTGGGCTTCACAGCCTAGTTTGTAGGTTAGAAACTTTGTTCTGCTGAGATCCCTTGAGGAGACCCTTTCCACTGCTGGCATAAGTGGTGGGGAAATATTATTTGGGGTGGCTGAGCCCTGCCTTTCCCTACTGTAGGGCCGTTGGTGCTGTATGCCATGGTGGAGGAGTGGCTGCGTGCCAAGCAGCGCTGGGCACTGTGGGATAGAAGTGCTGTGGTGCTGATGCTGTTGCCAGCCGCCACAAAAACTTTGGAGGGCCCCCGTTAGCCGCAGCCTTCTGCCACCTATGACTGCTGGAGGCATCAGCCCTAGAATACTCCATCACATACACATACGCAAGAGTTAAATATATGGATTCACAAAAGTAGCATTTCATAATCAAAAGTGCAAACCCACTCTCATTCCTACTATCCTATGTATGGAAAGCCTTCTTGGCAAAACAATCAAGTCCTCTTTGTCATCCCAGTAAACGTAAATAGTGCCACAAATGTATGACAGAGAACTTTGCTAGTTTGAACAGAATTATTCAGTCAGAATTTGAGTTTTAATCAACCAGGAAGGAGCATCTACTTTTAAAGGATAAGTGCTATTTTAGGTAGAGTTAAACATAAGAAAACCATTTTAACTTATTGAGAATTTGCCTTTTGTCTGTATTAAATCTTTAAATTGATCTAGAATTGAATCCTATTCCTACCACAGCCAATGGGAGTTTTAGTTTTAACTTCTGGAGAAGCAAAAGATGATCCTATATTTGTTGTAAAAAGAAACATATTTTTCACTGGCATTTTTCCACTAGTCATTTAAGTCAATGGACCTATACCAATATTCACTACCTAAAGCTCTGGCCATTTGCACTGAGCTTACTTACCTAGCTAATTACAATTATTGCTTCATGAAATGAAAGAATTTAGAATAGTAGAATAAAACAGCAAACCAGAGTTTGTAATGGAAATGCTGACAAACTGTTAATGGCAATCTATTCACAGTGTAGGATGTGCAAACAAAAAAAAATCTCCTTTCAAACCTGTTGCATATATTGAAGTTTATCAGAATGTTTCCCCTGGCTTTAGGTTTCAGAATCTTTGGAAATATCAAGACTCTGGGGCTCTGCTTCATTTCTTTTCAGCCTAATCGAATGAATGAACTTTCTGTAGGAATGTTGAAAGGTTGGGCTTGAGAAGCAGTACACAATTGGGTCTATTGCACTGTTGAGGTAGCTCCAGCAGACAGTAACATCAGTTACATGAACAGCAACATGAAAAGCTGCACAGTTCTCAGAGCTCTGGAGGATGTATGTCAGCATTCTGACCAGCATACTGGGCAAGAAACATACTCCAAACACTACCACTACTGTGATCACTAACAGCTTGGCTTTCTGTAGCCCAGGTTGCTTTTTCATGGCTTGGCGGCTCTTGCTGAGCTTCTTGATGATGCCAGTTGTACAAAACAAAATGAGACTAAAAGGAATCAGCAACTTCAAAAAAAATATCACATCATGCCCAATAGTATGGAAGTTGGTCTCTCCATGTAGGTTGAAACTGCGACACTTGGTATTTTGGTGTTGGGGTGAAAATAGGATCTCAACAGTCAATCCCATTGCAAGAAGCCAAACCAAGGAAGCAATGACTTTGGTGGTCTTGGTTGTGAGAAAGCTGAGATTATTGTGAGGGTGCACCACCCTGATATAGCGTTCTACAGCCACGGCTGTGAGGAATGCAATGGAGACAGCCTGGGAAAGAGATAGCACAAAGAGCACTACTCTACACAGTGTGTCTTTAAAATCCCATGCCATTTGCGTCACAAAAAAGATCAGTCTAAGTGGCAGGCAGATGTTCAGCAAGATGTCTGCTATCATCAAATTTAGCAAATAAATGATATGTGGCTTCCAGATTTTCAGGCGAAAGAAGAAGATCCACAAAGCAATAGCATTATTTGTTATTCCCATCCCGAATTCCAAACTTAGCAAGATGCTCACCACTGTTTCCATAGCTTTGTCAGGAACAGAGCAGTTTGCCATTTTCTGCTGGTCCTTTAAAAGGACTAGAATGTGTAAGTAATGAAACCCCTCTGGATCCTGTTGCACTTTTTATACTGCAAGAAAAAGAGGGTTTTCCCCCAGCACTATAATCACTTCTGCATTTCTCAAAAAAGGAAGTACACACTTGGCACCATGAATTTAAAAGCAGACCAATTATAGAAGCATCAGGAAATATATTCAGAGTCATGTTTATCTATGTATGCATAAAGTATATGTATACCTAATGTATAAAACAACACACAGAATGATTTCCTAAAAATGAAATTTTGGCCTGAACCAGCATTTCCTGTAGGCCCTGAGCACTCCTAGCTCTCTTTGGAGACAGTGAAAATTAAGGATGCTCAGGTCCTTGAATAATATGATATGATAATGCTTTAAAGATGCAAAACACCATGAAAATGCTAAGTATTATTATTTATCATGATCCAAGCAGTCATTGACATATTGCTTTAGGAAAAAGAAAGTCCAAGGATTTTTGGAAAAATATCCAAAGGAGATAGAGGATGGTGACATCTTAATGTCAATCATTGGCTACAAAAGGAGTAATATCCAAGTTCACATGCTTAGAAATCTGGAGAGTGCTACTGGCATTCTTGCTGATGCTGCAGTAAGCAAAAGTAATTGCACTTCAGTGGCCAGAGAATGAAATTGATCATGCGGTAATGTAATTACTCAAAGCTGCACTGAGGAGTCAGTCAGTAGCTTTCATTGCTTGCTGTTGTGCTTGCACACTACCAGGCACTTATTTTGATAATGACTAGACCCTATGTATATGGATCAGGGTGCATGTGTGTGTGTATATACATTTCTTACACATACACACACAAACCATATATATGGATAAGCATAAAGATTTTTTTTCAGTCTTATGACCAACAGTCATCAATGGCTCAATTTGTAGTTGGGAGGAGGTATCAAGTGGGGTTCACCAGGGGTCTGTTCTGGGTCTGGTATTGTTTAATATCATAATTAATAATGTGGATGATGGGATTGAGTGCACCTTTGGCAAATTTGAGGACAAGACTAAGTTGGGTGGAGTTGCAGATACTCCGGAGAGTAGGAGTGGGATCCAAAATGACCTGAATAGATTCATAGATTCATAGATTCATAGATTTAGGGTCGGAAGGGACCTAGTAGATCTTCTAGCCTGACCCCCCGCCAGGGCGGGAGAACAACAAAACCCCAAAACAAGAAACGGGACTCAAATGAGTCCAGCCAGGTAGGCATCCAGCCTCTTCTTAAAGACCCCCAGGGTAGGGGCCAGCACCACTTCCCTTGGAAGTTGGTTCCAGCTCCTAGCCGCCCTAACTGTGAAGTAGTTTTTGCGGATGTCCAATCTATACCTCCTCTCCATCAACTTGTGCCCATTACTCCTTGTTATGCCAGCGGGCGCTAGGGGAAACAGCGTCTCCCCCAAACCCTTCTGGTCCCCCCTAGTGAGTTTATAGACGGTCACCAGGTCCCCCCTCAGCCTTCTCTTGTGGAGGCTGAATAGGTTCAGGTCCCACAGTCTCTCACTGTAGGGTCTGCCCTGTTGTCCCCGGATCATGCGGGTGGCCCTCCTCTGGACCCTCTCCATGTTGTCCACATCCCTCTTGAAATGGGGCGCACAGAACTGGACACAATACTCCAGCTGTGGCCTGACCAGCGTCGCGTAGAGGGGGAGGATCACCTCCTTGGCTCTACTCGAGATGCACCTGTGGATGCACGACAAGGTCCGGTTAGCCCTGCCAACCATGACCTCGCATTGTCGGCCCATGTTCATCTTGGAGTCAATAATGACTCCAAGATCTCTTTCTGCCTCCGTGCTCTCAAGTAGGGAGTTCCCCATTGTGTAAGTGTGCTGCTGGTTCCTACTGCCCAAGTGCAGCACCCTGCACTTGTCCGTATTGAAACGCATCCTGTTCCTGTTAGCCCACCCCTGTAACCTATCCAGATCCCTCTGCAATCTCTCACTCCCTGCTAGCGTGCTCACCTCCCCCCAAATTTTGGTGTCATCAGCGAATTTAAACAGGTTACTTTCCACCCCATCATCTAGATCGCTGATGAAGAAATTGAA